TATGATATATCAATATAGAATATGTAACAATTAATATACAATGAAATACAAAATGAAACTAATACACTTACAGTTTATGTCCGAGAATATCACAGTTTTATGGATCCAAAATTAATATCACAAACACATTTTCCAAATATTGTTAGTGCACTGTATGTTGATAGTTGATCGATCAGACGCAAATGTTTATGGTTGTTGGTTCAAACACGTTGGGCGCCAATGAAATGGGTGGTCAGCAAATGGGTTCTGAGAAACCACACATCCAATTAAGTTTTTAAAAGTTTATAACATATAACAAAAACACCTAAAGAGGGGTTTTAAACACCAATAGGTATCAAGCAAAGGGCTTGAAAACAAACTATTATATAGCCAAAACTAGAGAAAATCCAGTGTTCACAAAACACAATATCCAAATGTGAAAAGAGACAAACAAAACTTCTGATACTAGCAAAGAGAAGGTCTTTACAATCCAGAAACTAATATAGTTGTGAAGGCAAAAAGATACAGAAAAGGCAGAAACCAAGGGGAGTCTGGGTAAACAAACCAGAAAACCATGGTGGAGACCAATGGAAAGAGAGAAAGAGTGAGTGAGTGAAGAGGGAGAGTGAGTGAGTGAAGAAATGAACTCACTCGGATGAATAAGTATTAAGAGAGAGATAGAAAGAAAGAAGATAAGTGAACTGTGCTATAAAACATAAACAATAATTAAAACCTGGATAAACTTAAACAATAATATTTACACCTAAAATATAGCTCCATTACATATCCCCCCCCCCCTTCTTCAAATGTTGTCTACAACATTTATCTTCATAAAAATTCTTCTGGAAGTATTGATTTACACAACGTCGGTAACATCTCTAACACAATCCTTAGTCGCTCTGGTGCTAGTGTAGCAAAATCCACAGGCAATAGAGATCTTGCCAAATCTGCTCGCCTTTGAAATCTGGGAATCTGCTGTGTTAGGACATACTCACCACGTTGTATCCATTGGGGTGCTTGTCGTATTCTCGATGGTCGCGGTTGATCTTCATCTTCAGGTCTGTTTTGTTCATCGTCGATAGTATCTGGTACTGGTTCTGGTGATGTATGTTGTACAACCTCAGCTGGTGGCTCTGCTGGTGGTTCTTCTGGTGTTTCTGCTGGTGATTCCATCGGCGCTTCTTGTGGCTGAGAAATTTCATCCACTGCTGCCTCTGACACTTCATCTCTGGACTCAGCTTCTTGTTCAGATGACTCTGGCCTTACCTGTACATCGTTCTGAGCTGGTTGTACCTC